AGGCAGGTTGTATTTCATAGTTATTTCTTGTTATTCCAGGGTACATTATTTAGTTTGATCCTACTAGTAATATACTTAAAAAATGGTGCAGTGATGCACTATTTTTTACCATTTTGACAGTATTTTTGTAGAAAGCACAAAAATAAAGTTGTGAGCATCCCAACCCTTATTAAACTGATGAGGACACTGACCAGAAACAAATAATGTATTTGAGGGGGGGGGGGGCTTGTATTAAATTAAGTTAAATACATCACAGCAAGGACTTATAGCGACAGCAATAGATTATTCCTGTAAATAGCGCCCTCTAGCAACAGATCAATTCTGTCATTTGAAGATGACGTAGATGGGTGAAAGCAATGCTATTCATATAAACAAATGTTTGCTTGTGTAGTTGTTCATCATTCTTTATTGACAGACAAATGATCTACAAATGGCATTGGTTACACCCTTAATAAGCCACAAAAGGCCAATGGTCTTTTGTAATTTTTACTAAAATAATGTTTCTTTATTTTGATCCAAAATCTTTTAAAGATTGGGACAATATTTTTAACAAACGCAAGCAGATATTAAACAGAACTATCTTGTTGATGCGTGGTGAAAAAAGTTGACAAAAGGTTGTGAAAGGGTTAACGGAATGTTAAACACAACATTGGCAGAGTCTGAACTTAAACCAGGCATGTACAGGTCATATTGAAAAAAAATCCACAAAAAATTATGACAATGGTGGAATTGTGAACACTAATTCCTCCCTAGCAAAAATCATAAAATCATAAAAGTAAATATAAATCAGTTAATGGAATCAATCACTTACTGTCTGACCATGAGGACCAAACTTAGACTAAAATAAGCAACACAGACGAGAAGATATGCTAATGGCATATTGTATTTAATCTTTTCCCCTTCTATTTCTAAAATTAGATCATCGCTATAGTAGAAACCATAGAACAGCTCTGTTAACTCCATAAAACCCTGTAAAAATAAATGTAAGGTCAGTTAAGACCCATGGCAGAGAGACCCAATAATTGTTCATTAGGACACTACAGTTCCAGTATG